GACTTAATCCATGTGTCTGATAGTCATAGGAGCCAGACACTGACAAACCGGGCTTGGGAGTAGTAGACTGTGGACATTCAAAAAACTTACATGTAAAAACACATGCAGAAATAGTGCAGGGCGATACTCGGGGAGGATTCTGGTGCGGAGCGATACTCGGGGAGGACTCTGGTGCAGAGCAATACTTGGGGAGGACTCTGGTGCAGAGCAATACTTAGGGAGGACTCTGGGCAGACCGATACTTGGGAAGGATTTTGGTGCAGAGCGATACTCAGGACTCTGGTGCAGACCAGTACTCAGGGAGTGCTCTGGGAAGACTGATACTCAGAGAGGACTCTGGTGCAGACTGATACTCGGGAAGGACTGGCTGGCAGAGTGCTGGAGAGGAGTGCATTGTATGGGAGTCTTTGAGGACAGAGAAATCAGCCAGGCAAACTGGGGTAAGTGACTTTGGAGCCAGGCCTTGATGCGTTGTTAGGCGTCTCACAAAAATAAAATTAAAAAAATAAAATCTTAGAAAGATCAAGAGACACAGTGTTAGAAAACAGTTTGAAGGCTTTCCTTTTGAAAGTTAAGCTAATTGTGTGGTCACAAAAGAGTAGGAGGCAAGTTGTCGTGAGGTCCAAAGAGAGGAACTCTGATGTTCCTGGGAGTAGACCTACCCCAAGACCACCCAGAAAGGCTCTCAACAGAAGGAAGAGGGCTCCTGGGAAACCATCTATTCAGTGACATAGCATTTTCCAGGGAGGAGAAAAGTACCTCAAGAGAAACCTGAACTTGGTCGTTGGAGGCATGTCTTAGGGTGGGTGACGGGTAGGGACACTGGAGTGAATTTTTTTTTTTTTTTTTTTTTTTTTGGTTTCTTTCCACAGAACACTGGTTAAGTGTCTGGCTTTGCCCATACTCAGTCCAAATACCATTTCTAAAGTGGCTGATGAGAGTCTCCGCTTCCAACTGTGTAAAGGACTAGAAGTAACCATCTGCTGGGTGATCATGAGAATTGAGTCTTTTGTGTGGATGTGCTTAACTTGGGGCCTGGTGTGGAGCAAAGCTTCAAATGAGTATAAATCCGCACTTCCCAAGGAGTCCTTTGCTCTTGAAACAGGGTCTCATGTAGCTGGGCTGTCCTCAAGGGCTGAACCAACCTCTGTCTTGCTCATGTTGAGATTACCAGTGTGTACATCATGCCCAGCTCCCGGGAATCCTGTGTGTATGTGTTTGTGTGCATGTGGAGGCCAGACCTCAGAGCTGTGTACCTTTACATATATACATATATGTACAAGCCGAAAGGGCTAGGTTAGCTGGCCAGTGAGCCTGAGTGATCTGCCTGCTTCTGCCTCCCAGCCTCCCAGCAGTGGGAATTACAAATGCGTGCAACCACATGGGGCTTTTTTGTTGTTGTTATTGTTTTGAAATAAGGTCTCACTATGTAGCCCAGGCTGGCCTTACACTCAGATATCTGCCAGCCTCTGCCTCCCAAGTGCTGGGATTAAAGGTGTATGCCACCACACCCAGCAGTATTCCTGGCTTTTAAAATGTGGGTTCTGGGGATCAAATCATGCCCTCATGATTGAATGGCGAGCATTTTCCCCACTGAGCTATCTCCCCGCCCTTCCCAAGTAGTTCCAACCACTAATCTCTAAATATCTTCCTCATCTGAAACAGGACACTCAGAAGAAACACGTGAATACTACAGGGACTGAATGAGAATCCTCCATTGTAAATTGATACCTCAGTGTTCTATAATGAAGCTGGTTAGCATTGTTTATCATCCAGCACCTGGTCATTTCTAGAATGTTTGGGAAAGCTGTTTCTGAATATACAGTAAGGTTGACTGTCCCTTGAGTCAACCACCAGTGTGTAATGCATTGTGAGTCTGTTTGGGAAGGAACATTTATTAGGCATTTGCTGTGTGGACCAAGTACTCTCTGAAAAGGAACATTTATTAAGCATTTGCTGTGTGGACCAAGTACTCTCTGAAGCGCCTTACCTGTCCTGTTACCCAAGCATCACAAATGACCTTTTGCCAGGTATAGTAAGTAGCATACCAGAAGGCTGAGCATTAGATCATGAATTCAAGGCCAGCCAGGGCTACACAGCAGATTTGGGGTTGGCCTGGGCAACTTGGCAATAGCATGTCTCAGATGAAAATTCAAGAAAGTTAGGAGCAGAGTGACGAGTGGATAAAAGTGCTTGCAGCCAAGCCTGATGACCTGAGTTCAATACCCAGAACCCACATGATAGGGGAGAGCCAACTCCTACAAGTTATTCTCTGACCTTCATATGTTATGTGTTGTGGCACACACAAGCCCATACAGAGAAATAGGCAGGCAGGTGTGCGTGCATGTGCACACACAGAGACACTAAATGTCTAAAGTGAAAAATCATTGGGAGCTTGTAGCTTAATAGTGGTACATTCACCTATGAAAGTCCTGGGTTTAATCCTTGGTATCACCAAAAACAGAAGACAACTCAGCCGTTTGAGACTCTACAGTTCTACAGTCATACAGATGAGGAAAATGAGGTGTGTGGTTGCTAGGTAACTCACCTAGTGTTTCCTATACCGCTTGTAAAATGGCAAGGACACAATTTGAACCTAGGTGTGCCTCTGTCCTCAGCCATTGTATTGAACCAGGAAGACAGAGTTTCAGGTCCAGCTCTGCTTCTGTTCCAGGATTATGGCCTTAATATTTTATTCCTTCATTTCAAACACAATGTGAATACTTGTAGTGTAGCCTTGTTTTGAAGACCAGAGGTCGGACATGTGAAGTGGCTGCCACAGTAAGGGTGTGGGAACGAGACTCATCAATGTTGGGCTCCCTCAACTGCTCTGTTTCTTCTGTCTCAGGTTCCCTTAGTGTGTGGTCTTTGAGTCTCTACAGTTAGCAGATCAAAGCCTGTACTCAGACTGTAAACATGCTGCAATCCCTATTGATGGTCTAAATTAGAAAGCAGCTGAGGCTGTTTAAAGTAGAAATAGAAGTCCATGTCTTTAATCCCAACACTCAGGAGGCAGAGGCAGGAGGATCTCTGTGAGTTCTAGGTCAGCCTGGTCTACAGAGTGAGTTCCAGGACAGCCAGGGCTATGTAGAGAGATCCTGTCTCAAAAACAAACAAACAAACAAAAAACCAGTAGAACAAGATCCAGTAGAAGATATGCTGTGCATGTTTTAAGGAATGTGGTACCAGCCAAATTTAGACATTTTTATGTTTTCTAAGAATGCCCTTATGCATGAAATAAGGCATCTCAGTTGCAAAATATGTTGCAAATATGTAATACGTTTATGTAGGATTAGTACTATAGACATTTGTTTACATATATGTGATTTATATGTTTATGTGTGTGATATATGTGTGTATATATATTTTTTGAGGCAGGATTTCATGTATCCAGTCTGGCTTCTGACTTGCTGCATAGATGAGAATAGTAAATACCTGATTTGCCTCCTTCTGCCTCCCAGGTACTGGGTTAGCTGGTCTGGGCTACCGTGTCCAGTCTGTGTGGTGCTGGGGATCCAAGCCAGGGCTTCCTGCATTCTAGACAAACACTCTATCAACTGAGCTGCAGCCTCGGCCCTTGTTTATGTTTTTATAAACAACATTTCTCTGTGTAGTCTTGTTGGCCCTGGAACTCACTCTGTAGACCAGGCTGGCCTCAAACTCAGAGATCCACCTGCCTCTGCCTCCTGTGCTGGGACTAAAGGTGTGTGCCACCACTGCCTGGCTTTGCTTATGTATTTTAAAGAGAATTGTACTTTATTTGCATACATTTTGTTATATTTTAGATTTTATTTTTATTATTTTTATCTTATGTGTATGTGATGCCTTCATGGCTGTGCCTGGTGCCTGCAGAGGCTAGGAGAGAACGCTGGGTCTCCTAGAACTGGAGATACAGATATTTGTGAGTACCCTGCTGTGGGTACCAGGAATTTTACCTGTGTCCTCTGCAAGAGCAGCCAGTGCTCTTAACCCCAGAAGTATCTCTCCAGCCCCTATTTATGTATTTTTTTAAAGAATAAGAATTTCTACTTACCCATTTGAAGATTTTTTAAGTACTATCACCTAAGTAGGAGGAGATATTTTTTCAGAATTATTGGAATAGTTGATTCAGACCCAGAAATAATGCTAAGCAAGCATAAATAATCTGGCTGGCATACTTCTTGTTAAAATGTACCTTTGAATGATAAGATCAGAAATGGCTGATAACTAACTGGCTTGTGTGTTTTGAGGCCTGTTCTCTTGTTCAGGCTGACCCCAGATCCCTAGGTTCAAATCATTCTCCTGCTTCAACCACCCAAGTACTTGGGACCTACAGGCACTTTTTAGGTATTTAAGATGTTAAGCGTGTCCCTAAAGCTCCAGAGTTAATTATTACCACCCTCTCTTTTAAAAAGGGGATTGTGTAAAATGGTTTTGCTGGAAATGGTAAGGTTCGCCTTGGCAATGCTCAGTGATTGCTTTCAGAAAGTAAAAAGTGTTGTGAAGAGCAGAGTAAATGTATGTGGTTTGACTCGTCCCCATGTGCCTTTCTAGAAAAAAAAAAATATATAATACGGCTTCCATTGTTCTCATTTGTAAATGTTGCTGCTGTTTAGTCCAAGAAGTATTTGCGCAGCTGCCTCTTACTGGCACATGTCCAGGATATCGTGAGTGATGGCTTTTAGAGATAACCTGCGCAGCCAGGAATTTCTTTCCTCGAGTCAGCTGCCCCAGCGTGAGGCACATTCAGAAGCACCGAGAGCACCGGGAAGCACGGGATGCAGGCAGCCTTCCCACTCTGGTTTAGTGGGGCACCCTCTGTGTGACAGTGACCGGGAGAGCCTCTGCACTGGCATGCGGAGCGGGATGAGGTTGGATGAGGTTGCAGGTGAAGAAGAAGGGAAGAATGGAGTTCATTCCTTTCCTAATATCAGTGAAATGAAAAGAAGTGGGAACCTGTAAACCACGCATGTCCCCAGAGGTTACAGAATGAAGTAGCCTTTATTCTTTTGTCTTTGTAGGCATGGAAGGACTTTGATGAAACTTTAAACAGTTCCACAAAAGATGCGCTAATGGATGACAGCAACTCTCCTACATACAGTCTTCAGATAGAACCACAAGATGGATGTCACCCGGGTGACAGCGTGGAAAGGAGAGTAACACCCTTGCCTTCTGTCTCAGATGAGAATGAAAATCAGCTTGACGGGGACGGGCCTGCGGGTCTGACGGGCGGGGACGGTGCAATGGGGAGAGCCACAGTGTCTGAACAGGACAGTCTCAACAATAATGAAAGCTGCCTGTCCAGCTGCGAGGTAGCCCCCGGCGAGACAGCGGAACACACGCCATGTGACGGTCCCAAAGATGATCAGCCTTCCCTGGGCCAGGACAAAACACTCCCTGGAAATAAAAGTCCAAGAGCCAAAAGAGGCACTCCTAAGAACGTCCCTCCAGGTAAGGCCTTCAGATCTTACTATCCTTTGACAAAAATCGGCATTTCAACTTGCTTCTCTTCTTTCAGTCCTGTTCTGCGGCAGTATCCATAGGTCCCACTGTGTGTGGTTCTTTACAGCGTCACAGTCTATAGATGAATCAGAACATATTTAGTCTACATCCTTTATAAAGCACACGGTTGTCTGCTGCCCTTAGGATTTCCTTCTCTATCACCGTGGCCTTGGTGTCTGACCTGTGATGGTCTCTGCTAGTACAGCTGTGGATAGGATCTTCCTGCCTCACTCTGTAGGTGAGCAGTATACATGAACTTATTGAAGTCGATGCATGTCTTGTAGTAGGGCTGAGTAAGGCATCTGGTTTTGATATCTGCATATCTTTGGTTACAGAGGAATTCAGATTTCTTTCCAGAATGTATTTTGGCAGGTGAGATTCCAGCTGTGCAGCTCTGTGTCTGCCTCACCAGGCACTCATGGGGAAAAGCCCCCGCTGGTGATTTTTGTGCCTGCTTTTGTTTGGTTGGTTGGTTGTTGTTGTTTTGTTTTGTGAGAAACATGACAGTGCTGGCATGCTATGGGCCGACAGTCCTTCCTGGAACACACTTTATCCAGGCCAGTGGTGTTTGCAAGAGGCCTGGTGAATTAGCGGTGTCTCCTCCCCCTTCCTGCTCTCCTGTGCTTTGGCTGATAAGAACTATAGTTATTCCATATCCTGGGTTTCGTCTGTAGTTTTAAAATTTAGAGTAAAATATGAAACTATGGGGCTGAGGAGGTGGCTCAGTGAACAAAGTCCTTGCTGAACAAACACGAGAACCAGAATTCAGATTCTTTTTTATTTTCATTAATTTTCTTTTTTTTTAATTTTTAAAAAATTTAGTTATTTTTATTTTGTGTGCATTGGTGTTTTGCCTGCATGCATGTCTGTGTGAGGGTGTCAGATCCCCTGGAACTGGAGTTACAGACAGTTGTGAGCTGCCATGTGGGTGCTGGGAATTGAACCCAGGTCCTCTGGAAGAGCAGCCAGTGCTTTTAATCGCTGAGCCATCTCCCCGGCCTGCAGAGTTCAGATTCTTGGCACCCACATAATATTGGGCACGTCTGGAGGCTTGCATGTACCCCAGTGTTATTAGGTAGAGAAAGGATTCCTGGGGCCAGCTGGCTACATAGACCAGCTGATTGGCAAGCTCCGGGTCCGGTAAGGAAGGAGATCATTCTGATGGTGCTGCCTTTAAGAACTCTCTTTCTTTTTATGGCTAAATAATGCTCCATTGCATGGATAGATGTAGCACAGTTCTCGAGTATTTATGTGTACACCGGTGAGCGTGTTGGTTATTATACTTTTTGTCTACTGTGATGTCTCTCTGAGCATGTTTTTATTTCTCTCATTTGTCAGTGGGAGGTAGTTCTACATGATAGGTAGCATTATGTGTAACTGGTGAACTATTTTCCAGTGTGGCTCCACCAGTTTGTAGCCCCACTAAAATATGGGAGAGATACGGTTTCTGTCTCTTTGCCAACATTTGTTAATGTCTGGTTTCTTTATAATAGCAAGTTGTTCAAACGGAAACATAATTAACGAACCACAAAGTTTGCTTTTTAAAGTATACGGCATGGTGGTTTAATTATAGCCACGGAACTGTGCACCATCATCAGCATTGGATCTTGCAAAAGAAACCAGAAACCCATTAGCAGTCACTCTCCATGTCTCCTGTTCCTCAGCCCCTGGCAATCAATGGCTCATAAATTTTGTATGACTTAACAGACAAGTTCAGATTAAGTGTCTAAAGATTGCCATAACAACATTTGGTGTTTACTCATCCCTAGTCACCATGGTATCTACACGTTAGACAAAACAGTGCAGGAAATAGCCAGAACCAGAGGTAGACAGCACGTGGAGACTGAGGAAGGAGGGCCCTCCCAAATAGAGTTGCCACATTCAGCATATCACCTTGCTTTACTCTTGCCCTTCACAATGTATCCAGCTGGTCCAAGACCAGGAAGGCAAGAATCTGGAGGACGACAAAACCTGGAACTGGATCTGCAGCCTGGAGTCAGGCCGGTATAGTTAGTAGAGCTCTGGGCTGGAGGCTCTGCTCTGCCTGGTGCTACCTTTGTGATCTGAGATCAGGAACTCAGTGCCTTCCTTGTCTCCTGCTTATCTCCGAGGAAACTGATACTGCATATATCCTGCAGCGGCTTTGTTCTCGGGACAACAGTCCTGTGCATCAGGCAGGCAGAAGACAAGAGCTCTTGAGTGCTTGTGATTGCTGTGTCACAGAATGTTCTTTTGGGGGACATGGCTTAGAGAGTTCAGAACTAAGAACTAACTCTGTGAGTCTGCCTTAGCTGCCTAGCTCTTTTGTCTGGGCTTCTCTTACGTCCTGGGGTTTTTCTTTCTTTTCATGGTAGGACTGAGAATTGAACCTATGTTTAGTGTTAGGTAGAGGTGCACACTGGCACATTACTGATGTCTGAAAAAACAACTGGTGATGCCATAAGACATGGGCTTCCAGTTGCATCTTACCTGACTTTGAGCCTAGAAGAACTTCCCTAACTGGCCTCCAAATCATGAGTCACATGTGGATGCTGGGGTTCTAAACTCTGGTCCTCATGCTTGTGTGACAGCCGCTTTATCCATCAGCCTTGACTCCAGCCCCAAACATACTCATTAAAAAAGAAAGAAAGAGTCCCCCTAGTCCCCTAACCAATGTCCCCAACTTTAGAGGCTGAGAACAGCACACGCTGTCTGTCATACAGTTCTGTAGGTCGGGAGTCTGCCCTTGCTCTCTGGACTAGAGGGAGGCTGCCAGCCAACCCCGTTCCTCCTTAGCTTCTAAGGAGGAGTCGGTTTCTCTGCCTTTCCATCCAGCAATGGCTTGTGGGGTCCTGCACACGCTGCTCTGACTCTGCTGCCCCCCGTGATCACACAGGTCCCACAAGGTGATCCAGAGTAACCTCCCCGTTCAAAGACACCTGGTGAGCAGCCTTACATCCATCTGCTGCTGCAGTTCTCTTCGTAACATGAGGGAATGTGCAGATTCATGGAATTGGGACATAATCATTTTTGGGAGCCTTTATTCTGCAAACCCTGAAAGTGTTTTAACTAAGGCACCATGATAATACTTTACATAACAACCAAGTCTTATACATTATAAACATCGTCATTACACTAGTTTATAGAACCATACAGGACTGCTCGCTCAGTCAGCAGGTGTTTATGGAGTTTTGTATACCATGCGCTCTTCAACTGCTGGTGAACCTGCCTTTCCGTTTCCTGTGTTCAGGTGAGGAGGGAACTAAGTAACAGCAGGGGCAGTCTAGTAGAGGAGGAAGTCCTGACAGGGTCAAGCAGGCCCGTAGCAGTGGAGTGCAATGTCCAGGGAGAGCTGTGAAAGCTTGCAGGAGGAGCTGATGTCTAGGCTGAGCTAGGACAAGTGCAGGTCAAGAGGGAAGGAGAGGATGAAGATGAAGGATGTCAGAGTAGCCCAGAGCACAAGGAAAGGGTATCTTGTGTTTTGGCCGGTCTCCATCTTCTTTGGCTGAGGACAGTGAGAGGAAAGGAATTAGCAGAGTAGGGTACCCAAGATTTGGGAGATTAGCAAGGCCCAGATTATAAATATTCTAATAACCAGGTTGGACCTTCCCAACAAGCTTGAGCAAGGCAGGAACACAATGGGAGCCACAGCGAATGTGCCCAACGAGCTGGGCCGGTGAAGAGTAGAAGTGAGGGAAATGGGTGAGGACTTCGGCAGGGTCTGTGTGAGGGATGCTGGCAATCTCCACCGAGGGGGATCTGAGATGTGCCCCTTCTCTAGTCACTGGGTCGTGATTTCAGGCATGCTTTGAAAATACAGAGTCTGAAGCTGGGTAGTGTGGTGCACACCTTTAATCCCAGCACTCAGGAGGCAGAAGCAGGCGGATCTCTGAGAGTTCAAGGCCAGCCTGGTCTACGGAGGGAGTTCTAAGGACAGCCAGAGCTGTGACACAGAGAAACCCTGTCTCGAAAACAGTCCCCCTCCTGAAAAAAAATACAGTGCCAGAGTTGTCTGCGGCTTTCCAGATTCTGTCCCCAAACTACATTCAGTCCCGGTAAATTGATATTTATTTAAGTAAAGGGATACATGATGAAGATGAGGAAAATTATACCTCCAAATTCATATATTTTTGCAGTTATATGTAAGCACAGACGGATATAGACAAACACTTAAAGATAAGGGGGTATTTTAGGGGCTGTATTTAAGAATATTTAGTTACTGATTTTAGAGAATTCAGTTATTGCCAGCTTAATGAAAAGGTCCGTCCACCCAGGGTATTTGTAGCTTTGGCTTCTCTGTTGTTTGGTTGGTTTTTTCTTGCATTTCTTTATTTACTTGGGGTGGGGGGGAAGGATCAGAGGAGGGGCTGTCACGTTTGACTGCAAGTGCCTTTGCCTGCTGAACTATCTTGCCTTCTTATTTTTGTTGTTGTTTGGTTGGTTTTTGGTTTTTCGAAACCAGGTTTCTCTGTGTAGCTCTGGCTGTCCTAGAACTCACTCTGTAGACCAGGCTGGCCTCAAATTCACAGAGATCGACCTGCCTTTGCCTCCCAAGTGCTGGGATTAAAAGCATGCACCACCACTGCCCAGCTCCTGTTTGGTTTTTCTTGAGACAGTATCCCAGACTATCCTGTGTCTCAGATTGGCCTCATACTCCTGGGAGTCCTCCTGACTCCCCTTCCCAGCTACTGGGATTGATTATAGGCATGGACCACGGTGTCTGTTCTCTTCTCAGTCCTTCAGTGCTTTAGCTAACTTTAGTTAAAATGTGCAGCATTACCTGTGTTCTAAGCAGTCTACTTGCGTTTTTCTCTTTCTTTATGCCAAGTTTTTATTGGATCATGATCCCTACAGAGAGGTAGTCTTATTTTCATTTGTTTAAGATAACTGCTTCTAGGTATCAACCATAGGTCCAAACTGTGTTTGATTATCCTTGTCTCTGTTGTTTTTTAAAATGGTTATTCTGTAGA